TCCTCCTCCTCCTGTCTCCCTCCAAACTCGTCCTTCTCTTGTTACCCCCTTATACGCTGACGGCTGGCCTCGTCGCGCGGGAGTAGAGCTCTTGCCTCCTCCTCCTCCTCCTCCTCCTCCACCTCCTCCTCCTCCTCCTCCTCCTCCTCCTCCTCCTCCTCCTCCTCTTCCTGCCTCCCCTTCCCCGCCCTGCCCCTGGCGGCCAGGGCAGCCCTGCGGCCGAGACGCCTCCGCGCCCCTGCGCCACCCGTCGGCGGCCACCAGCTCGGCCCGCAGGCGCCCAAGGCGCGCCTCGCCGCGCTCGGCGTCCTCGCGCTCCTCGCGGTGCTGGGGCGGGGAGGAGGAGGAGGAGGAGGAGGAGGAGGAGGAGGAGGAGGAGGAGGAGGCAGGAAGAGGAGGAGGAGGAGCAGGAGAAGGAGGAGGCGGAGGAGAAGGAGCAGGAGGAGGAGGAGGAGGAGGAGGGAACAACAGAGGAGGAGAGGAGGAGGAGAGGAGAGGAGGAGGAGAGGAGGAGGAGGAGGAGGAGGAGGAGGAGAGAAGGAGGAGGAGGAGGAGAGGAGAAGGAGGAGGAGGAGGAGAGAGGAGGAGGAGGAGGAGGAGGAGGAGGAGGGAGAGGAGGAGGAGGAGAGGAGGAGGAGGAGGGAGGAGGAGGGAGGAGAGGGAGGAGAGGAGAGGAGGAGGAGGAGGAGGAGGAGGAGGAGCAGGAGGAGGAGGAGGAGGCTGGACGCCGTCGGCCGCCGCGGACGCCTCGTCCGTCGGTCAGGTCAGCGCCGTCGCCGGTCGGTCGCCGCCGGCGCAGGCGGCCGGCGTCGTCGCCGGCAGCGAGGGCGGCGGCGTCGGTCGCCGTCGGCCGGCGGTGGCAGGAATTCGAAAAGTGGTGGCAGATTCCCAGTGTTGGAAGACATGTTTTTCGAAACGAACTATCTTGAACAGTTTCGAAGCCCACAGGCTTTGAAGAGATGTCGACACGCGCGCGTGGCGTCGCGAGCATGTGGCGTGCATCGCCTCCATTGATACGAGTGCCTGCGCTGGGCGCGTGCCAAAACAACGCAGATGCACCGCGTGGTGAGACGACAGTGCCGCTTCTGGGCGAGATGGTTAAATTCATTGGGCTCTTGTATTAAGTGACCGTGGGCAGAAAATATGCCATACGGACTAGAAGCACATGGGCTTCGAATGTTCTTATGTTTAACTACTTGCTTGCATCACGAATGTCTGTTTGGCATGACTTCGACGTGTGCGCGCGTGTGGACTTTGCTGCACTATTCTGCCAGAGGGTTCTTGAAGCCATATGCTTTTTTTGCGGCAGACGGATGCGCGCGCATGTTATGACTTGGCAGGGATGACGGGGAGGCGATCCGGCTCAGCTGTGGTGGTGCTATCTCATATGGGAAATCATCGATGAGGCAGAATCGTATGTACATTGCAATGTCCCAGGGGGGCCACAACTCTGGGCTCGGGATTGTGGTCGAGTATGTGATTCTTCTGTTGAGAAGGAGAGTAGATGTAAACCACATGATATATGTTGTGTAATCGGTTCATGGTCCATCCACACTAAGCGGTGCAATCTACGCGGTGCAGTTTATCGGATGCACGGTATGCTATGCAAGCAATGAGGTGCACACTTATTGGTGCTATCTACAGGGGTGTGGTGAAGCTACGTCGCGTAATCTTTCGGGGGGCAATCCGCGCGGTGTCAACTCCAATGCTCGCGCAAACATTCCACCCACCCTCCCACCCAGAAGTTGTTTTGCAAAGCCCATGCGACCGCGATTGAGGTGCTGTCGCCGTCGCCCATACGACGCCGCCACCGCCGCCTCTCAAGGCTCCTGGAGGCCCGAAAAAAAACGAAGGCGTCCAAAACCTCCGCACGTGAACCTCGAACGACGACATCGTCGTCACCGCCACCGTTGATGTCGTCGATCGACGCCGTGGTCGCCATCGTGAATCGCCGACGCAGTCTTCGCCGGCCGATCGACGCCGTCGTCGTCGCCGATCGATCGATCGATCGATCGATCGACGCCATCGTCGCCGATCGATGCACCTCATCGTCGCCATTGTGGGTTTGAGGACATGACCCAAATTTCGATGTGACTCCAGCGGTGGCGACGAGGGCCCCCGCATGAGGCCCAAAAAGGCGAAAATGAAGCAAGAGTAGCGGTATCGGTACCGTTCCAAGACACTTGGCGGCATGATTCTCCCACACGGTCGACCTCCAGGACTTTCGACCCTTTCCCCAGGACTGGTTTTTCATCCTGAAATGTTTTTTGACGGTCGTGGGACCTGGCGAGGGCCTCCAACGGCCGAAAACTCGCCATCGCTCGGACGTCCATGCCCTGTGCTTTTTTCGTTTTCGTGCGTGGTTTTCGCCAAATGATCAAGGATGCTCCTCGATGGCCCTCGCCGAGAAAAACTGCACACGTCCGAGCGATGACAGGAAAATAAAAAAAACCTCCCGGCGTGATTCTTCCTCCCGGGTGGCGGTGCCGTTTTCTCCTAGCCTCTGAGGATCGATCGTCGTGGCCCGGGGCGCTGGTGGGCTCTCCGTCTGCAGCTGCTGCCGCCCCGCCCGCAGCGCTTCGAGCGCCCGGCGCTGCTCGGCCTGGGCCTCCTGGAGCGCGCCCTGGGCAGCGCTGGCGGGGGGCGGGGGCGGGGGCAGGAAAGCAGACCTGAACACAGGAGAGCCGTCGACTGTATTCCTGAGCGCACCAGGGCCCCGAGGTCCTGGCGATGCTTTTGTTTGTGTACGGGGCGCCGTTGCCCCTTTTATGGGGGCCCTCACACATCGATCCAACTCTGGGGTCCGGGGCTCAGATCGTAATTTTCCGTTGTGTCGCATGTGTTTGGTCACGCCGGATCTCAGGGTGGGCGGGGTCGAAGGAAGCGAAGGATTGTGTACTTGAGCACACAACCGCCTTGCACCCCCCCCCCCCACACACACACACACACACTTTTGACTCGGCGGCGCAGAGGGACCTCAGGCGCGGTCAGCAGGTGGAGGTGCCAATTGCGAACGAATTTAATCAAACGCACCATGATGGAACAGACCACTCACGGCCATGCAGAACGATGCTGAAAAACGAAAGGCGCTACAAAACCAATGCGCAGCGGCCCAACGAAAAGAGAAACAAAAGCTCGACGCGGGTAGTTTGAAGCGCAAGCAGCAAGTCTGGTGCTAATTGGTGACTGTGAATTATCAAAACGATGTTAAACTGGAAGATAAAATCCGGCAAAGCTGCCAAACCAGCCGATTGGTTGGGCAGCGCTGGGCAAGCTGCGGCCCGGCGAAACTGATGGGTAGGATACTAACCTATGGGCCAGCGATTCAATATGCAATAGCAAAAAAGAGCGAAGTGCCAGACCTACAAGGCACGGCAGCACCACACAGCGCAACCCGAACGTAAAATAACGTTGCAGAAAACGGACATTGTGACGGCATACATTGGTGTTGACGAGTAGAAGTAACGCACGCAAAGCCGAAACCAACCTAATTCGCCATGCCGTGAAATCCTCGGATCCTCGGCGGATAGCCGCGCCACAAAGAGAAGCCAGTGTCAGTAACGCGTCCAGGCTGGCCGTAAACAGGCTGCAACAGAGGCGCCGACCGAGATTGATTGGTAGGGTACTGTCCAAGCACTACAAGTAAAGACGCGAGGTACACTGTACGCACCAACGTCTAGGTCGCCACCAAATTGACCCAGGACGTCTCGGACAAGATGCGGGAGGCGCCGCCAATCTCGAGGAAGACCCAGCTGTGGAGCCCAGGGGCCGAGCATGACAAGACGCAACACATGCAATCTGAACTCGGCGGTGACAAATGCGCACGGAGACCACCCCAGGAGGCCCGACCACACGGAGCCCGGAACCCCGACCAGGCGCGAGCAGCACGGGAGGCCCTGAAGACGAGGGCGCCAGGAGAGAGAGAGAGCTCCGGGCGCCACAACAGGAATGCCAGAGCAAAGCGGGGCGGCGGGGGAGTTGGTCAGAGCCGCGGTGGGATCAGCGGTTCGCGCGAGGTTAAGCCGACCTCCCGCGCGGATCGACCCGCAGCCCCCACCGCCAGGCAAGAAACTCACGCAGCATCCCGAACTTAAGACGGGAGGCGGCAGCGCGGCGGGGGCGCGGTTTGGCGCCAAAGGTGAGACCAACCTCAGAGACCCCTGCCAGGGTGGCCGCTCACTGGCACGTACAGCCCAAGGCGTTCAAGGGGCCCGTCCTGCGCCACAGAGAGAGAGAGAGAGAGAAACAAAAAAAAAAAAAAAAAAGAGAGAGAGAGAGAGAGGAGACACTATACAAGTCAACGCAGCTAGCTGGACCTCTGCCGTCTCTCTTTACAGGCCCAGGGCAGTGGCGGGGAAGATGGACGGCAGAACTGGAGCCGTCACGTTTACAGCTGCAAGTGCACACGAGACGCTGGCAGACTGGCAGAATCTTTTATTCGGGCTAAAGGGGGTTCTCCGAAACTCCCCTCACGGGGCGTCCAGAGTTCCCCGGGGTCCGGGCCTGCGTTCTGCGCGGCCCTGCGCTTCCGTTCGGTTGCCCCCCTTCTCGCCGGACTCCCTCTTCGAGAGCCGAGCGGCGAGGGATGCAGCACCCTGCCAGTGCCACAACCGCTTGCGAACGCCCCCACGCCAGCATGCCACGCGCACGCGCCCCACGCCAGCCCCCCCCCAGTCACCCCCTTTTCGCCGCTGAGCGGCCGCTGAACACCAAACAACAAAACTCTTGGTGAACTTCAAAGCCTCCACGTGAGCAAAGCTGATCGGGAGCTTGAAGGGCCCGTCCCTCGCCATCGCTCGGACGTCCATTCCCTGTTCTTTTTTCGGTTTCGTGCGTGGTTTTTTCGCCAAATGATCAAGGATGCTCCTCGATGGTCCTCGCCGAAGGGAAAATGCACACGTCCGAGCGATGCCGGGAACCTGATCGGGAGCTTGAAGGCCCCGTCCCCGAGGGCTGGACGCGCTGCGAGAGGCCGAGCCTCGTTTTGCGCGGGGCGATCGCTGCGGGACCCGCCCCTGGCCGCGCCAGGCCGGCGGGCTCGCGGAGCGGAGGAGCGCCCAAAGGGGCCTCTGCCGGTCGTCGGACTGCGCAATCGTTCCTCGAGTCCTACAGTCCAACCTCCTCCTCCTCCTCCTCCTCCTCCTCCTCCTCCTCCTCCTCCTCCGCCTCCGCCTCCGCCTCCGCCTCCGCCTCCGCCTCCGCCTCCTCCGCCTCCTCCGCCTCCTCCTCCTCCTCCTCCTCCTCCTCCTCCTCCTCCTCCTCCTCCTCCTCCTCCTCCCCCGCAGCCACTTTGGCTCAAGTCCTCGGCCTCTGGGGGCTGAGGACACCATAGCATTTCACTCCTGGTCAGGTCCAGGAGCTTGGGGCTCGAACAATTCTGCCTGTTCGCATCCACCCCACAGAGTTTTTCGGGTCACTTCCCACCAGCCAGCCATGCCTGCCACCTCTGCGAAGGAGCACCTCTCCATCGTGATCTGCGGGCATGTTGACACTGGCAAGAGCACCACCACCGACCGCCTCCACTACGACCTGGGCTGCCTTCCGGAACTCGAACTGGAGCAGTTGAAGAAGGAGGCCGAACGCCTTGCAAAAGGCTCCATGGCTTTCGCGTTCTATATGGACCGTCAGAAGAAGGAGCAGGAGTGCGGTGTGACCAGCGCCTGCACCACCAAAGACTTCTACACCGAGAAGTGGCACTACAACGTCGTCATCGATGCCCCAGGCCATCGCGATCTCAACAAGGCCGACTACCTTCTGAAGAAGTCTGACAGCATGGGCTGGTGGAAGGGCTGCGATGTCAAGTACGGCAAGGACTGCGACACCGACAGATACAAGCAGTCCCGCTATGCCGAAGTCGCGAAAGAGTCGAAGATCATGCTGGTCAAGCACGGGTGGAACAAGGACTTCGTCAAGAAGGGCACGCCTGTAATGCCAAGCTACGGCTGGATGGGCGAAAACCTGCTAAAGAAGTCTGACAACATGGGCTGGAGGAATTTCTGCGTTGACAAGTACGAGAAGGTCCCATCCACGTGGACACCGTCTTCGATGTCCTGGTCGTGATGGGCCGCGTTTTGCCTTGCTCATGGCTTGCCGATAGCGGCAAGTCCCGCGCTGATTTACAATTCAGGGCTCGCTCAAGCCCTTCTCGCTGCCAAGATGTGTTGTTCAGATATGTGGCAGGTCGAGAGCCTTACAAAGTGTGAGGTGCTTCCCTGCAGGAGGTACAATGGTCAGAGATAAAGGGCCCCCTGGAGGGTCGGTGGTTCCCTGAGAGGACTAATAGCATTGCTGTTGGTCTCAGTGGAGAGGCCCGCGGGATCAGTCTTCCCCGCTCTCCTTTCACTCAGTTCTAATTGAATGCGAAGTGTATGTGATTTTTCATTCGAGTAGTGTTCCCTTGAATGCGAAGTGAACGTGTTGACAAGGCAGGTCGAGAGCCTCACTCAAGTGAGGTGCTTCCCTGCGGCATCAAGCATGGCAGCTCTCTCAAATTCAGGCAGTGGCACGACGACTGAGCACCGTTGTGTCCTTATGGCCAACCCCACTGTGGGTGCCGGCCACGGCCCAGACGTCCTTCGACGAACTGTGTCCCCCCACCACGTGCTGATCCTCCTCCTCCTCCTCCTCCTCCTCCTCATCCTCCTCCTCCTCCTCTCCTCCTCCCCCTCCCCCTCCTCCTCCTCCCTCCTCCTCCTCCTCCTCCTCCTCCTCCTCCTCCTCCTCCCTCCTCTCCTCCTCCTCCTCCTCCTCCTCCTCCTCCTCCTCCTCCTCCTCTCCTCCCCCCCCCCCCCCTCCTCCTCCTCCTCCTCCTCCTCCTCCTCCTCCTCCTCCTCCTCCTCCTCCTCCTCCTCATCCTCCTCCTCCCCCTCCTGGTCCTCCTCCTCCTCCTCCTCCTCTTCTTCCTTCTCCATTTCTGACGTTAGGCAAGCATGAGGCGGGGCCTGTCAGGTTGTCCTCCTCCTCCTCCTCCTCCTCCTCCTCCTCCTCCTCCTCCCGCTTCTCCTCCTCCTTGTCCTTGTCCTCGTCGCACTCGCCGTCGTCGTCGCCCTCCTGGCCCTCGTCGCCCTCCTGGCCATCGTCGCCCCCGTCGTCGTCGTCGCCGCCGACGCCGTCGTCGCCGCTCCTTGCCGGCAGGAGAGAGATGGAGAGAGTGGGGAAACCCAGAGGTAGCGATACCGGAGTTCGCTCGGACCAGAATTTCGAGGAGAATCCAGCTGAAACGAAGCAAGGGTAGTAGTATCAGTACCTTCGCCTCCTTGGAGGACGCTACTGCTAAGGAGGAGGACACGGAGGAGAATAATGAAAACATTCCGAATCAGAATGGCCATACTTTTCAAAACAAGGATACTGAGATTAATGAAGCTACTATTATTATTATTACTACTACGAATACTACTACTACTACTACCACTACTACTACTACTACTACTACTACTACTACTACTACTACTACTACTGCTACTACTACTACTACTACTACGATTACTACTACTACCATTGCCACTGCCACTTACTACGACTACTACTACTACTACTACTACTATTATTATTACTACTACTACTACTACGACTACTGCTACTACTCCACTACTACTACTACTACGACTGATGCTACTACTACTGCTACTAATACTACTACTAATACTACTACAACTACCACTACTATTACTACTACTACTACTACTACTACTACAAATACTACTACTACTACTACTACTACTACTACTACTACTACTACTACGACTACTACTACTACTTCTACAAGCAATAGTAATACCAGCCGTAGATATAGTGCTGATACTAGTACGAGTACTAGTTGCAGTACTAGTACTAGTACTAGTACTAATACTAGTACAACAACAACTACTACTACTACTACTACGACTACTACTACTGCTAATGTTACTACTACTACTACTACTACTACTATTACTACTACTACTACAGACACTAACTACACTACTACTACTACTAACTACCAACTAACTACTCCTACGTACTACAACTACTGCTACTGCTACTACTATCTACTACTTACTACCACTACTACTACTCAACTACTAAACTACTACAACTACTATTAATATTACTATTACCAACTACTGACGGCCTACTACAACACTACTACGACTACTACTACTACTAGTACTACTACTATTATTACTAAATACTACTAACTACGAACTACAACTACTACTACTACAACTACTACTGCTACTACTACTACTACTACTACTACTACTACGACTACTACTACTACTACTACTACTACTACTACTACTACTACTACTGTTACTACTACTACGACGACTACGACGACGACTCCTACTCCTCCTCCTCCCACTACTACTACTACTACTACTACTACTACTACTACTACTACTACTACTACTACTATTACTGCTACTACTACTAGTACTACTGTTGCTGCTGCTGCTATTACTCCTAGTAGTATTACCACTACGTTTACTTACACACTACTATCACGACTTCGACTACGACTACGACTAGGACTACTACTGCTACTACTACTACTACTACTACTACTACTACTACTACTACTGCTACTGCTACTACTACTACTACTACTACTACTACTACTACTACTTCTAGACTACTACTTCTACGACTACTACTACTACTTAATACTAATAAACTACTACTATCTACATACTACTACTGATACTACTACTACTACTACTAGCCTCCTACTACTACTACTACTAGTACTACTACTACTGTACACGCTTCGACATAACTACTACTGCATACTATCTACTATACTTACTACTAATACCTAATAATACTACACTTCTACTCTACTACCACTACTACTACCACTACTACTACTACTTACTACTAATACACTACTACTACTCCACTAAGACTACTAAGACTAGCTACTTACTACTACTACGACTACTACTACTATACTACCACTACTACTACTACCTTACTACACATTACTACTACTACACGACTAAGACTACGACTACTACTACGACTAGAATACGAACGACTACGACCTACGACTACGACTACTACTACTACTACTACTACTCCACTACTACTACTACACTACACTATACTATCTACTACTACTACGACTACTGCACTACTACTAGTAGTGGTACTAGTAGTAACAGTAGCAGTAGTAGTAGTAGTAGTAGTAGTAGTAGTAGTAGTAGTAGTAGTAGTAGTAGTAGTAGTAGTACTAGAAGTAGTAGTAGTACTACTACTACTACTACCACTACTACTACTACTACTACTCCCAACGGTAGTAAGAGTAATATCACGGTCACCACATACGATAATTGATTCAAATTTTCATGAATAAGAATGCCAGACATGATAACACGAGTATTCGCAATGGTGGTAATAATAACACGACTTATGATACGCCAAGTAAAACAGATCGATAATTACACGACTGAAAAAAAACACATAATGAACGTACGACTGCTAAGAACAATCAAAACGATAACAGACAGGCAAGCAGCTGAAGAGGAGGAGTAGAACGAGGAGTACGCGAGCGAACGCGAGCGATGGCCCCATCGGGGCGGGGTGACGAAAAGGTTTCCAGGACAAGCAACGGTATCGGTATGTTGTCCTCCTCTGAGCAGGAGGAGGAGGCTCGCAGGGCCCACCTGCCGGTGCGCGCAGCCTCGGCGGGCGCTCTCCAGCTCGGCGCCCAGCGCGGCCAGCTCCTCCTGCCGGCGGCGCCGCGGAGCACGCTCGCGCGGGGGGGGGGACCAAGAGAGGCACTCGATCGGCGGCGACCCCTGGGGGGAAACTGATTCAGAAGGCTCGGAAGTGCTCCGGCCTTGAGGGGGCGGGCCTAGCGCTCCGGCCTTCTGAGAGGTTTTCCGAACCTTTCCCAGACAGACAGATGACTTCTCAAAGCGCGAGGGCTTGTGAGAAGACCCGCCGCCTTCTGAAAAGGCCTGCCCCCTCTCAGTTCCTCCTTGGGCTCGCCGCCGACCCGAGCGAGCGAAAGGGCCGCCCGGCTGGGCTAGGGCAGCGAATTCTATACAGTCTAACCATGTCCACCGCCCCTGGCCAAACCAATCCTGGGCCCAAGTGGCGGTGCGCGCACGCCCCCCAGGCTTGGACAGGAAATCGTATGGTTCATATATATATATATGTATATTTCTATATATGTAAATATAGGTATATGTGTGTATATATATATATATGTATGCATGTGTGTATATATATATATACTAGAACCACGCGGGCGCTACGCGCGCGCTTAGGTTCTAGCTTCGTCCGGGGCAACGGCCAAACAACGGACGAGGAGGTTGACGGCTGAGTGCACTTCGGTTATTCGTCGAGTTTCGCGGTCGCGGTTCGAAAAGCTTCTGGGCGCTCCTCACCCCCAGGCGGCCCGAGGCGGCCGAAAACGACACCTCTTCCTCGTCCTCCTCTTTCCCCCTGCTCTTCCTCCTCTCCTTCTACTCTTCCTCCTCCCCCCATCGTCCCCTCCTTTCCCCCCTTCCTCCTCCTCCACCCCCTTCCTCCCCTCCTCCTCCTTTCCCTCCTCCTCATCCTTCTCCTCTTCCTCCTCCTCCACCTCCACCTCCTTCTCCTCCTACATTCCCTCCTTCTCCTCCTCCTCCTCCTCCTCCTCCTCCTCCTCCTCCTCCTCTTCCTCATCCTCCTCTCCACCACCTCTCTCCCCTCCTCCTCCTCCTCCTCCTCCTCCTCCTCCTCCTCCTCCTCCTCCTCCTCCTCTCCTCTCCTCTCCTCCTATCCTCATCCTCATCATCATCAGCATCATAACATCACATCATCATCATCTCATTCATCATCTCATCATCATCAGCATCATCATCATCATCATCATCATCATCATCATCATCATCATCATCATCATCGTCCACCATCACCATCACCGTCACATCATCATCTTTCATCATGTTCCTCCTCCTCCTCCTCTCCCTCCTCCTCCTCCGCCTCCTCCTCGTCCTCCTCCTCGTCCTCCTCTTCCTCTCACTCCTCCTTCTCCTGCTCCTTCTCCCCGTCCTGTTCAGACTACATGGCTCGCCAAACGGCAGTGCGACGCCGCGCAAGCATTGGGCCACATCGGATAAAAGGGAACACTCGGGGGAGGCCTCCCTCTTGCTCTCCCTACCCCTTTCTCTCTTCCCTACAGCTCCGCCCCCCCTCCTCCTCCTCCTCCTCATCCTCTTCCTCTCCTCCCCCCTCCTCCTCTTCCTCCTCCTCCTCCTCCTGCCTCCTCGTTCTTTTCTCCTCTCCTCTCCTCCTCCTCCTCCTCGTTCCTTTCCTCTTCCTCCTCCTCCTCCTCCTCCTCCTCCTCCTCCTCCTCCTCCTCCTCCTCCTCCTCCTCCCCCTCCCCTCCCCACCTCCTCCCCTCTTCCTCCTCCTCTCCTCCTCCTCCTCCTGCCCCTCCTCCTCCTCCTCCTCATACCCCTCCTCCCTCCTCCTCCTCCGCCTCCTCCTCCTCTACCTTCCTTCCTCTCCTTCCTCCTCCTCCTCCTCCTCTCCTCCTCCGCCTCCTCCTCCTCTCTCCTCCTCCTCCTCCTCTCCCCTCCTCCTCCTCCTCCTCCTCCTCCTCCTCCTCCTCCTCGTCCTCCTCCTACTCCCCTCCTCCTCCTCCTCCTTCGCTCCTCCTCCTCCTCCTCCTCCTCTTCCTCCTCTACCCCCCACATACATCATCATCATCATATCATCATCATATAATGTTCCTTTTTCATCATGCATCATATCATCCTCCCCATCATCATCATTCATCATCATTCATCATCATCCTCATCCTCCATCCTCTCCTCATTCCTTCATCCCTCATCCTCATTCATCATCATATTGTCATTCATCAATACATCACCATCTTTCATCCTCATCATCCATCATCAGCAGCAGCTGCATCCTCACTCATCATCATCATCATCATCATCATCATCATCATATTATCATTCATCATTTCATCATGAACATGCATCACATTCAGCAGAACATCATCATCACATCATCATCATCATCATCATCATCATTCATCATCATCATTCCATCATCCTCTGCCCTCCTCCTCCCCGTCCCCCTTCTCTCTCCACCCCCATCCTCCCCCCCTCGTCCTCCTCTTCCTCCTCCTCCTCCCCCTCGTCCATCTTCTCTTCCTCCATTCCTCTTCCTCCTCCTCCTCCACCGCCTCCGCGCGCGAGAAATACAACAACATGTCGCGGAAATCGACGAATTATGTCCTCCGGGTTTTTTCGAGCGTCCTTTCAGGACTTGTCGGGGCCTTCTTTGGGCCCCCTTCGGCGTCCTGGGAACCCCGAAATCATGTTCCGATAGAGGCTTCGGGGAACATGATTTCGGACGCTGCGGAAGAGGCCTCCCGAGAATCTCTATAGGCAGCTCTGGTTGCCCCCGTTGTTGCTTATCGTGGGTCATCTTGGGTCCCTCTTGGGCCGTCTTGGGGCTCCTCGGGGTGGCACTGTAAACACGTCGTCGTCGTCGCCGTTCGCCGATCGGCGGCGTCAACTGTTGTCATCGTCGTCCATCGTCGTCGTCGCCGTCGTCGGTCGTCGCCGTCGACGACCGTCGTCGTCATCGTCAATCACCGTCGCCGATCACCGTCGCCGATCGTCGATCGGCCCCGAGCCCTCCCGCCCACTCATCCTCCTCTCCTCCTCCTCCTCCTCCTCCTCCTCCTCCTCCTCCTCCTCCTTCTCCTTCTCCTCCTCCTCCTCCTCCTAATCTGCCTCCTCTTCCTCTTCCTCCTCCTCCTCCTGAAATCATGTTCCCGGAGACGCTTCAGGGGACAGGATTTCGAACGATGCAGAAAAGACTGGGTCCAGGGTGGCTCTGCGCACGCGGACAGCGTCGCCGCCGTCGGCGCGACCGTCGTCGTCGTCGCCGTCGTTCGTCGATCGGCGACGTCGACTGTTGTCATCGTCTTCTATCGTCGTCGTTGTCGGTCGTCGACTGTCGTCGTCGTCGTCGTTAAAAACCGTCGCCGGTCGTCGTCGCCGATCGTCGATCGCCCTCCAGCCTCCTCGTCTCTCCCCCCTCCTCCCCTCCACTCCTCCTCCCCGCCTCCTCCTCCTTCTCCTCTTCCTTTTCCTCCTCCTCCTCCTCCTCCTCCTCCTCCTCCTCCTCCTTCGCCCTCTCCGTCTCCTCCGCGCGGAAGAAATCCAACAACATCTCGCGCAAATCAACGAACTATGGCCCTCCGGGCATTTTTGAACCTCCATTTAGGGCCTTTGGGGGCCGTCTTAGGGCCCTCTTGGGCGTCCTGGGAACCAGGAAATCATGTTCCCGGAGAGGCTTCTGGGAATATGATTTCGAACGAGGCCCTCTTGGGCCTCCCTGAGGCCGTGTCGGGAGCCTCCTGGGCCAACTTTGGGGCCTCTTGGGCCGTCTTGGGGGTTCCGTGAGCCTCACAGGACGACCCTTTTGGGCCGTCTTGGGCCCTCTTGGGTCTCTCTTGGGCTGTCTTGGGGCTCGGGGGCGTCTGGGGCACTGCGAGGACCAAGCAAGCAAGTATGCTGAAAACGTACGTTGTACAACGGGAGTGGGCCGATTTTTGCCTCTTGAAGGCCCTCTTCGGCCAGCTTCAAACCATCTCGGGCCCTCTTGAGGCGCTCTTGGACGTCTTGGGGCCCTCTTGGGCCTCGCTGAGGCTGTCGGACAGCGTCGCCGCCGTCGGCGCGGCCGTCGTCGTCGTCGCCGTCGATCATCGATCGGCGGCGTCGACTGTTGTCATCGTCGTCGATCGTCATCGGTCGTCGTCGTGGTCGTCGTCGTCGTCGTCGAATCACCGTCGCTGGTCGTCGTCTCCGATCGTCGATCGCCCTCGAGCCTCCTCCTCCTCTCTCCCCCCCTCCTCCCCTCCACTCCTCCTCCCCGCCTCGTCCTTCTCCTTTTCCTCTTCCTCCTCCCCCTCCTCCTCCTCCTCCTCCTCCTCCTCCTCCTTCGCCCTCTCCGTCTCCTCCGCGTGGAAGAAATCCAACAACATTTCGCGAAAATCAGCGAACTGTGGCCCTCTGGGAATTTTTGAATGTCATTTTAGGCCCTTTTGGGGCCGTCCTGGGGCCCTCTTGGGCGTCCTGGGAACCCGGAAATCATGCTCCCGGAGAAAATTCTGGGAACATGATTTCGAACGAGGCCCTCTTGGGCCTCCCTGAGGCCGTCTTGGGGGCCTCCTGGGCCGGCTTTGGGGCCTTTGGGGCCGTCTTGGGCTGTGTTGGGGCTCCTCGGGGGCCACTCTGAGGACGAAGCAAGCGAGTATGCTGAAATTGTACGTTTTACACGAGGACTGGGTAAAGTTTTGCCTCTTGAAGGCCCTCTTGGGGCCCTCTTCGGCCATCTTCAAGCCATCTCGGGCCCTCTTGGGGCGCTCTTGGACGTCTTGGGGCCCTCTGGGGCCTCGATGAGGCTGTCTTGTGTGCCTCTTGGGCTGTCACGCGGGCAGCGTCGCCGCCGTCGGCGAGGCCGTCGTCGTCGCCGTCGATCGTCGATCGGCGCCGTCGACTATTGTCATCGTCGTCGATTGTCGTCGTCGTCGGTCGTCGTCATCGTCGGTCGTCGACCGTCGTCGATCATCGTCGTCGTCGTCGTCGTCGATCACCGTCGCCGGTCGTCGTCGCCGATCGTCGATCGCCCTCGAGCCTCCTCCTCTCTCCCCCCCTCCTCCCCTCCACTCCTCCTCCCTGCCTCCTCCTCCTTCTCCTCTTCCTCCTCCTCCTCCTCCTCCTCCTTCGCCCTCTCCGTCTCCTCCGCGCGGAAGAAATCCAATAACATCTCATGCAAGTCAACGAACTGTGGCCATCCGGGCCTTTATTGAATGTCCTTTTAGGGCCCTTTGGGGGCCGTCTTAGGGCCCTCTTGGGCGTCCTGGGAACCAGGAAATCATGTTCCTGGAGAGGCTTCTGGGAATCTGATTTCGAACGAGGCCCTCTTGGGCCTCCCTGAGGCCGTGTTGGGAGCCTCCTGGGCCAACTTTGGGGCCTCTTGGGCCGTCTTGGGGGTTCCGTGAGCCTCACAGGACGACCCTTTTGGGCCGTCTTGGGCCCTCTTGGGTCTCTCTTGGGCTGTCTTGGGGCTCGGGGGCGTCTGGGGCACTGTGAGGACCAAGCAAACGAATATGCTGAAAATGCATGCTTTACGAATGGGAATGGGCCGGTGTTTGCCTCTTGAAGACCCTCTTGGGGCCCTCTTCGGCCATCTTCAAGCCATCTCGGGCGCTTGGGGCGCTCTTGAGCGTCTTGGGGCCCTCTTGGGCCTCGCTGAGGCTGTCTTGTGGGTCTCTTGGGCTGTCTTTGGGGCCTCATGTGCCGTCTTGGACCCCACAGGACGCCCGGGGTGGCCATGCCAACCGGTGGCACCACCCCACCCCCGCCCCCGGGCCCCGTCCGTCTGTCCTACTGCTCCTCTCCAAACCCTCGTTCCCTAACCTCCCGATCATGTTCCCGGACCCCCGTCCCTTCCCCCCAGAGCACCGCAGCAGTAGGAAAGCGTTCCGAAATGGTGAGAAATCATGTTCCCGGAAAGCGTTCAAGAATATGAATCGTACTTCGTCCAAGGCGCCTCGGAAGGCGCAGAATACTCTTCCAAGGCGCGGAATCATGTTCCCGGACCGCCTTCCGGGAACATGATGGGGACGACCTCCTGAGGGCCTCCAGTGGGCCTCTTGGGGGCCTCTCGGAGGCCTGTTGGGCTCTCCTGGAGGCGTCTTGGGGCGCGCTCAGGACCATTTTGGGGCATCTTGGGGGCCTCTGGGGGCCTCCAGGGAGGCTCTTGAGGGCCTGTTTGGGGCCTCTTGGGGCCTCGCGGGGCCCTTTTGGGGACCGCTGGGCTCACTTAGGCAGTCTTGAAGCCCTGTCGGGGCTCTCCTGGAACCGTCTTGGGCGGCTCCTGGGCCATCTTGGGGCTCTCCTGGGCCGTCTTGGGACGATTTGGGGGTCTCTTGGGCCGTCTTGGGGCGGTCTTGGGGGCCTCTTCGGCCGTCTTGGAGCGGTTTTGGGAGACTCTTGGACGGTCTTGGAGCGTCGGAACTCCGAAAAAGCGAGAAGGCCAAAAACCTCGAACAAAAACAATAAAAATCAACGATTTTGGCTTGTCGCGGCTCTCTTGGGAGGCCTCTTGGGATGCCTTCGGGGCCTCATGGAGCTCTCTTGGAACGTCTTCGGGCCTTCCTGGCAATTCCTGAGGCTATGTATGCGCGTCTTGGAGCGCTCGCGGGCCGTCTTGGGCGGTCTCGAACTGTTCCTGGCGGTCCCAGGGGCCCTCCGGGACGCTTCGGACGCTCCCGGGGGCGCCCTGCACACCCCATGGAGATGACAGGCACCGCTCCGGGGCCCTACTCCGATATATATATATATATATATATATATATATATATATATATATATATATATATATATATATATATATGGTGCACTTGAGCGAGATCGAGATGCCAACGGACGTGGGCATCTGACACCGGGCGGCTGCGCTAAACTAAACGTGTTTAGAGCACAAGCGTTTCAAAAACTGAGATCTGCTCTGTGCACTCTCGCTTGCCAACGTGGATGTGTTTTCCTGGGAGGTAGCAGGCTGCCGGGGGCGCCGACGCCAGGTGCCTGCTGCGAACGAGCCTATACACGAGCGCGCTCGATCCCATCGCCCCGAATGAGTACTGGCTTAGCCGCATGAGCTCGCCTCCGAGAACAGTAACTGTGCGCGTGCGCGCGTGTGCAATTGTGCGTGTGTGCGTGAATGCGTGTGTGCGTGTGCTCGTGTGTGCGTGTCTGCGTGTCTGTGTGTCTGCATTTTTTTTGTGTGTGTGTGCATGTGTGCGTGTGTGCGTGTGTGCGTGGGTGCGTGTGCGCGTGTGAGCGTGTGTGCGTGTGTGCGTGTGTGCGTGTGCGGGTGTGCGGGTGTGCGTGTGCGTGTGCGCGCGGGCGCGCGGGCGGGCGGGAGGACGGGCGTGCATACGTGGGTGCGGGCGTGCGGGCGTGCGCGCGGGCGGGCTGGCGGGGGGAGGGCGGGCGGGCGTGCGTGCGGGTGCGGGTGCGGGTGGGGGTGCGGGTGCGGGTGCAGAGGCGGGTGCTGGTGCGCGTGCGCGTGCGCGTGATCGTGCGCGTGCGGATGCGGGTGTGGGTGCGGGTGCGCGTGCGCGTGCACGTGCGAGTGCGGGTGCGGGTGCGGGTGTGGGTGCAGGTGCGTGAGTGTGATTGTGTGTTGGTGTGCTGGTGTGTGGGTGTGTGGGTGTGTGGGTGTGTGGGTGTATTTGTGTGTGTCGGTGTGTGTGTGTGTGGGTGTGTGCGTGTGTGTGGTGTGTGTGTGTGTGTGTGTGTGTGTGTGTGTGTGGGTGTGGGTGTGGGTGTGGGTGTGGGGTGGGTGTGTGGCTGTGTGTGCGTGCCCCCCGCCCCCGCCCCGCCCACGGTTCTCAATAACACGAGCGCCTGGGGTGGGGGAGCACCCACTCTGGGAAGAGCTTATCCCCTCCCTTCGGGGTCATCTTCTGGCCAGTTTGCGCTCTTACGGCAAACGACGGACCCAGAGGGCCCTGAAACGGCCCACGAGCGCTCCAATACGGGCCCAGCTGCCATCAAGACGGCCCAAGAACTCTCCAAGACGCTTCCGATGGGCTCCAGAAGCGCGGCGCGCCCAAGAGAGCCCCAAGAGGCAAACATCCTTGATTGTCGTTAAATTTTCCCACTGGTTCGCGTGTTCTCACGTCTTCGGCCTTCCGACCTGCCAAGACGGTCCAAAAAGCCTAAAAGGTTGCGCCAAGACGGTCAAAGAGGCCACCAAGACCGCCCAAAGCAAGATCGCGCTAAGACGGCCCACGAGGCTCGCCAAGACAGCACGAGGAAGCCCCAATGCGGTCCAAGAGGACCCCCAAAACGGCCCACGAGGGCCCCAAGACGGCCCCAAGAGGGCCCCAGAGGGACACTAACTTGTCGAGCCATTCCCCAAAATATAGCCTCCGAGAGCGCCAGCCAGCTCCAGGAGGGCCCCCAAAGACCCCAAAAAGCCCCAACACGTCTACACATTCCCTGCCGGAGGCCCGTGAGAGGCTTCACAAGCCTCTAAGAGTCCGCCATCTTCTTGGGGCCTCCTTCCTGATCATCCCTTCTGGCCTCCGAGAGAATCCGAAGGCGGCGGCGGCCGCGCGGCCTTGAGGAGGGCGTTCTGCTGGGCCTGCTCGCGGCAAAGGCCCTCCACGCCGTGGCACCTGCAGCGCTCCTTCGGCGACCCCACCCACCCACCCACAACAATGCGGTTCGAGTGCGCGAGAGAAGGCACGCCTGACGGTTTTTCACACACAATGCACAAAGCCACCAGTAAGCGTTTCGCTCCACGTCCCCATAATGCAATCCGACCCCACACACTGACAAACCCACCACGCTTCGTGCAAGCTCGTGGCGCCTAGCTGTGCAGGTATTTTGAAGAAGAAAAACTGCATATATATATATGTATATCTATATAATTTGGGTGACCCAAAAGGGGTCCAGCTGAAAAGGGGTGGTGCAATAGATTTGGGGCACTTGTATTGCAAATGTATTGCGCTGGAGAATCGTATTGCATTGTATTGCAAGTAATGCATTGCACGCGAAAATCCAGCAATACATTTGCGCCCCGGAATGTATTGCACGCCCCAGATGTATTGCGATCCCACAAATCTATTGCACCAAATCCTTTGCACCTCCCCCTTGTCCCTGGCCTGGACCCCCTTTTGGGTCACCCCGATACATACTCTCGACGGTCCACGCGGATTTCTTGGATCTGCGCTGGACACCCCTCCCTGGCGCGCGGAGCGCGCCAGGGGCGGCGCCAGAGGCGCCGCCGGGAGGGCCCAGCACGGATCCAAGACATCCGCGCGGAGCGCCAAACGGTTATGTTTATTGCGTTTTCTTCTTCGAAGACTGTCGAAACGTGCAAGCCAGCGGTTTGGATCCACAACAAAAGAGCAGGAACCGAAACACACACATTGACGACGCCCTCGAGGACCCGCACCGTGCCGGAAGAAACACCTCTCGGTGCCCGTCAAGGATGGTTCCAGTCGCTCGAGAAGCGCTTCTCCGATCGCTTCGGCAAGCTGGAAAGGACATACAGTGTGGGCCCGACCACGAGAAAACTTTCACAAGAGATCCAACCCTGCTGAGACCCCAGGACGTCCATTCATTTGTTGGTGTGGGAGCGTCACGCTTACCATGGCAAAAACATCGAAACCCAAGACACCCAGGGCGTCCTTGAGGCAAGCAGAGTGTTTCTTGGCATGGGCCCCCCTGTAACCGACGTCAAAATATATCATGGTTCGGGGGGCGAGGGAAGAGGCGCAGGAGGCAAAGCAGGCAGGGACAGAACTGGAAGAGCGGATGGATTCGTTCGAGGTTGAGGCGGGTGGTATGAGGCATGCATTGGCATCGTGTGCTTCAGACGTCGAGGTTCAAAGAAGCCGCACGCGATGCCATGAAAGGACACATGAAACACAATGCAACAAACACCACAACACACAATGCACCCCAAATCATGACAGGGAGATACAGGGAGCTACATCAAGCTTGCTGGGAGATCGGGAGATGGAGAGGATGAGGAACATATGATTTCTCAGTTGCAGGGAATGGCTGAGCGTGCTGGCATAAAAGATCAAATTTCGGACGTCTTCACATTCGTCGACCCATCCAAGTTTGGAGCACTACAATACAGGAACAAACCCACGGAACTTGGATTCTGGAAGGAAATGCAGAACACCAAGGAGACCTGGTCATGTGGGAAGAGAGCTTGGCTCACCAGCAACAACACGTTCGTACAACAAATTCTATACAAGACGCTGGGCAAGCTCAAACACAATTTGAAGGACAAAATTCACAAGGAAGAACACATACGAATATTCTGGGACGAGGGCATCGTTAAGATCCAGGGGAGCATTGGCATCGTTGGAAAGGCCGATAACGACGGCAAGCTCGAAACCTCCGGGCTCGTGAACGATGTAAATGATCAGATGGAGGAGTCTATGAGAAAGTGGCGAGAGAGTCGGGATTGAAGACTCCAGTGCAGCATATTTCCATGCGTACCAGTACAAGGACTTACTTCCGAACCAATGACCCAATCACCCACTTACCCCCTCGAGCCTGACATATCTCCTCCCTCATGTCTTGGAGCTGGCCTGGATGAGAATCAGATCGTTAAAGGCGATGTTCAGAAAGGAACCCCATCGACGACAGTTGCTTCACCGAATGTCGCTTTCCCATCCCCTGTATCACCCATGCTTACGGTCAGGACTGATCAGCAGGACCGTTCCCAATCCCACAGGTCCGACTACCTCCGCCTACTTCCTGATTCCAGCTCCGATCTTGAGCTTCTCCAACGACCTCGCGTCAGAGGGGGAGGACGAGGCAATTGTTCATGGGCATGTGCCTGCTTGTTTTCTGGTCGCTGGTCGCTCCGACGTCCTTCCTGCCGCTGCAAATGCTGCCGCAAACGCCCGTTCAGATGAGACGACCCGGACATGCAGGTTAGGCGACGTGCCACTCTCGACTCCAGCATCTTACGCCGATTCCCACAACCTCCATCAGTATCGATTGCACGAAGTACAGCAGCACGAGCAGGGCAGCGGGGCGCGCCATAACGACGATTTCCACATAGTTCACATGAGTGTGAGAGGGCTGGCCACCGATGACAGACTCGATGAGCTGTTTTTGGAGGTGTTTGGCATGCACTAGGATGTTATAATACTGAACGAGACGACGAAGTGCATCACGACACAAACGTATCTTACCACAGATGGACACAGGCTCTGCGCATCAGAACATGACAAGAGCACTCATGGAGCTACCGTTATCTTGAACAGTCATTGGCGAACTTCTTTCGTGAAATTCGTGCCAATTGACTGAAGACTCGCATTCATCATGGACATCACGATACATGGCGCACGACTCCGGCTGACAACGGCTTAGTCTTTCACACTGGTTACCAGGACGACGAAGTGCAGCACATGTACGACGCTATTGGCGCAACACTATTTGAAGCCCGGCAGAATAGACGGCAATTCATTTTGGGTACCGATTGGAATGCTAAAGCGGTCACCGTCACCCACGAAGATGGAGACAATCCCAAATCAGTCGGGAATACGGAATCGAACCTAGTAATGTGCGGGGCAGGTGGCTGAAAAATTGGGCATCTACTCACAAGCTGGTGTTGACGAATACGAAGTTCAAGAAACCAGTATGCCCAGCAAACTACCCAGGCAAATCGACTGCATCATGGTTGACGCTCGTTTCTGACGCAAGGTCCGGGATAGCGGTGTAGACAAATGTCTGGACATGGGATCTGATCACAGATGCGTGTACATACGGAACACAATCACTCGGCCAACCACGCCCCCAAATACTACGACCACAGCCAAAGCAACGAGTCTGCTCCGCCACCTCCGGTCAAGCAGGTCTTCGCCAATGCCGTCGACAACGAGATACTACGTACTAGTCTTCTTGCTGACTTGGAAACTCGACGCACGCAACCCGCGGACGTGCTTAACACCGCTTCTTGTTAAGTGTCGCGGGCCTCCAAGGATGGCGAGAGACCGGCGGGCGCGGAACCATGGGCAAGGCGACCACCAAGCCATGTTCAACGAACGGCGAGGAATATCACGAGAAGAAACCACCCAGAGAAATTCCGTAGCAAAGCGAATTCGCTGAGAGGTAAGAGCTTTGAGACGAGCAGCGCGGCATGAACAAATCGATAAAGTCATTCACGATTTCAAAGTTTGAAGAAAGTAAATAGGATCAAAAACAATGGGCGAAAAAGTTTGATACCGCTCATGACCAAAGCCGACGGCACCAGGGAGCACAGGAGAAAAAACATTGCAGACATCGTCTTTTCATGAAGAGAAGAAGGCAGACGGCCACTAAGAGGACGATAACCAGCACAACAGCAACATACAGATCTTGGATTTCACGCTGCAGGAACTCAAGCTGGCACTCAAGCAGCTCAAAAACAGCAAGGCTGGCGGGAAAATGGGCGTATTCGCAGAGATGCTAAAGACCAGTGGGCCGGTGCTTGAGGAGACGCTGCTGAAGCTCTACAACGACGTGCTGAAAATCGATTCGGTTCTGTACAAAGCCAGGGGCCTGTCTCAGACGCAAGATTACCACACTATCACAATTGTTCCATTATTGTAAAGCTCGTTAGCAGACTGTTAGATAACAGGCTTGAAAAGGATCTTGACCTACATCAACCTCCAGACCAAGCAGGGTTCCGCCGATATTTCTCTACAGAAGAGATAGTTTTACGTTATCAGTGGTGCAGAAAAAAGCTCAAGAATGGCAGGTTCCAGTGCGGTTGGCAACGTTGGATTTTAAGAAAGCCTTCGACACGGTATCACATGGTGAACTATGGATGACTTTGGCTAAGCAAGACACTTCTAGAGGCTATATGTATATTTGCTTGTGTCTGAGAATATAGACACATAAGAATAATGCGCCGCATGCAAGCCACCCAGATGGCAACGGGATCGACAGACAGGAAAGACGTAAAACTTCCAATCCAGCGACGGACAAAACATGGCGATCCATCAAGTTTTTTACTCTTCAAATCATCATTGGAAGACGTTATTCGGAAGGTGCGAATCAAATGGTTGCGACGTGGGTGCGACATCCGCGTAAATTTCGTAGACGCCTGGTTCACGAATTGCAACTCAGTTCTTGCCGCCAATTCTTGCAACTGCTCCACATGCAGCCGCAAAGTACGTTTGTACAAACCCCGCGTCAGGTTCTCAAATGACAGCAACGACGTGACCAGAGACAGCGTCCAAGCCCCCCCGCCAGGTGCAGTGGATGAGGCCACCTCCCTTAAGCAATTGGTTGCGTCTACGACCGACGTGCAACTCAAGGATATGCTGCAGAAACACATCGTCCACCTAGAGCCCTCCTCCTCCGCGGCGATAGATCTCACAGCAGGTCTGGCAATCGAGTCGGTGCGCAAGGCAGTAGGAGCGTCGAAGGACGCAGATCACAAGCACAACCAGGGGGTCAATACCGTTTTGAAGCATCGCGCCTCTGCAGCACGCGGAGGAAAAGGAGAAGATGGCAGCGGAGGTATTAGCACAAACAGACGAGGCCAAGAAAATGGCTTCAGCTCTTTTCGCCGAGGTGGACGGTGTAGCCCTGTCAGATGACGTTAGCAAGCAGACGTGTAGCAACAACAGCTTCACGGCTCCCAATCGCAAGCTCACATGGGGCGAGTCCGTCTCGAGGAGTTGGAGCTCGAGCAACAGTTGGAAAAGAGACTTCGAAGCAACTACGTTCTGAAGTACTTCCGTTTCGTGAGCAGCTCACTGCCAGAGTGACGATGTGCCGATGAAGCTTCTGGTGGCAACTCATGGGAGCCTCCCGCACGATCTTGTCGACTCTTGCGAATCGACGCTAGTCGAAGCTAAATCGACAATAGTCGACGCTAAATCGACGCTAATCGACGCTGTCTCATCGACTCCCAATCGCTAATCGACGCTAATCGACGCTAGAGACGGAATTCAGAGCGTATACAAGGCTTCCATGATTTGCTACCGAACAACTCGAGGTCAAGAGCGACGAGGTGCTGACGAAGCTCACCCAAGGCAGCCGCGATCAAGGAAGAGTCCGAGAGACGCGCTTGGCCAAGAAGCGCAGAGCGCCAGGGGGTCAACCGGCAACCCCTTCACCTTCTGTTGCATCCTCGGGGGACCTTGTCTGTCCCGTCGCGGCCCTGTCCGCGTCGAATCCGTGTCGAATCCATGTCGGACGCGTCGGATCCGTGTCGAATCCGTGTCGAATCCGCGTCGAATCCACGCCAAATCCGCGTCGAGTCCGCATCGAGCACGCGTCGGGCCCCCAAAAAGATACCAATGTTTGGAACAGGCGAGGTCCCCCGAAGATGCAACAGCGTTTACCCTCCGCGGAGGCGCCAGCCCACGCAGAGGTGCCTCCCGCGCGGGAGGCCACCCGCAGTCAGCAGACGAGGCCAGGGCGCGGGCCGATGCAGAAGCAGAGCAGGACCGAGGCCACGGCGGCCAGGACCTTCGCGGCGAAATTCGAGGCGAAGGCCACGGCCAAGTGAACGTGTTCTTCGGCGTTTCGACATTGGACGGAGGGGGGGGGAGGGGGGAAGGATCTGGCTCTGGATCTCTGCTTCGTGCCACTGTTTGCAGCAGTGCGTCCTATGGGGGAGGATCCACCTTCTCGAAACAGGCGCCAAAAACAGCCAAGATCTACCCCACTGAGGGGGGGGAGAGGAGGGGGTGCGAGGGCACACGAAGATCGGCAAAACAATGAATAAGAAAAAGATCACCAAGGGGAAGAGAGCTTCGACGGCATCTGTGGCCATGAGAAATGGCAAGGGCCCGCCGCCAATAGGCCGCCGCAGCTTGACGAGCTCCAAGTCAGCAGCTGCCGCGGTGGCCCCTCGAGGCCGCGGGGGCGGCGGCGCCTCGAGCGGGAGCCGAGCCTGTTCGGGATCTTGAGGGCAGTGGGCATGCCACCAGCCGTCTTCTCGTCGCCAACATCACCAAAGGCGAGGGGGGCACCCGTGCGAGCGGAAAATCCAACTCGGGTTAGCTGGCCCGAAGACGCTTCACGATGCACCCGCAGCTGAAGCCGAAGCCGAAACTGCAGTGCACAGAGACAAGGAAAGGGCCCACCCTGCAGGTTTGGTTAAAAAAAGAACACCAACAACAAAAAACATCGCAGAGCGGTGCTGCCGCCTCCCCTGAGCACAGGCCCCCCCCAGAGCATCAGCCAGGCAAGTCGGGCCAACCTCACTGCCATGGGGGATACAGTGAAAACGTATAGTAAGGACGGGTGGTAAGGACGCGAGACCCTTGGAGGCCGAGGTTGGGATTTGTTGGGCGGCGGCCTGAGAGGCTGGCCAGGGGAAACAGCAAAGGACGGGCTGCAGAGGCAAGGCAAGGACACAAGGGTACCCGAGAAAAGGCGCGCGTCCTTACTATGCGCGTTGACTGTAAGTGCTGGCGGTTCACCGAGTCAAACAACAGCTCGTGCTTCGATGTCTTCAGTCCGGTCGGAACTCGCGCCGCGGCATCCAGCCTTAAGAAGCGGGACAAGAGCCGGACTGCCGGCATCTTCGGCCGACTGCGACCAGAACCCGCCCATCGGCCCAGTTAGTATCAGAGGGAAACAAAGAGCGTCATAAACATAAAAACTCGGAGGTCCGCGCGGATTTCTCGGATCCGCGCTGGACCCCCCTCCCTGGCGCGCGGAGCGCGCCAGCCAGGGGCGGCGCCGGAGGCGCCGCCAGGGGGGCCCAGCGCGGATCCGAGCAATCCGCGCGGACCTCCGAGTTTTTATGGCTATGTTAGAGGAAAAAAAAACTATGCACATACACCGATTCTGGCCAGGCCCATCCTGAGCCCAGGATCGGTGCATACGCCCTCCTACCTTGGCCAGGAAGGCATATGCACCGATCCTGGGTCAAAGATGGGCCTTGCCAGGATCGGTGCATGTGCATAGTTCTCTTCGCCCGATATGCCACTTCCTGCTCCCCGATATCACGTCCTCGTCAGGAGCCTGCCAGCGAGGGAGGTGCACGGCTGCCAGCGCATGGCCACCTGCGGGCACGCCAGCCTCGGGCGGGCGAGGGCCGGCGAGCTGCGCACGCCCAGGGGCCCAGCGCGCTGGGACGGGTCGGCCCCAACTCTCGGTTCACTGCAGAGGCGTCTCGGTCGCATCAAGATGTTGTCATGTTTTGTTGTTGTTGTTGTTGCTGCTGCTGCTGTTGTTGTTGTTGTTGTTGTTGAACATTATTACTTCTAAAGAATAATTATTGTTGGGACCCCTGGTGCGCGACCCCCCTCCAAAACCTAGGCCGCAGCTACATTTTCATCATTTTTTAGCGAAAGCTTCAGAAAAGTGAATTATTACCGGATCCGGTTGTTTTGTTGTACTCCGTTTTCCCTTGCAAAAAACACTATAAAATGAAAATTCTTGTTCTTACTTGATCAAATTGCAAGAATCCCTTGCAAAAAATAAGGTAAAGTGGACATTCGTGCGCGCAAGACGAAATCCTTCCAAAACCTTAGGTTTCGTAACGATTTTAACATAAAAACATCAAAAACCCAATGGTTTTTAAAGAAAAAATTGTCAAAATGTCCTTCCGCGCGCGCTGTCCGAATCCCACAAAACCAATGGTTTTTCAACATTTATGTTACATGAGCTCGCGCGAGCTACTTTTTCTTGTTCTAACATAATCAAATTTCAATAATCCCTTGCAAAAAATAAGGTAAAGTGGACATTCGCGCGCGCAAGACGAAATCCTTCCAGAACCTTAGGTTTCGTAGCGATTTCAACATAAAAACATCAAAAACCCAATGGTTTTTCAAAAAAAAATGTCCAAATTTCATCCCGCGCGCGCTGTCCGACTCCCACAGAACCAATGGTTTTTCAACATTTATGTTACATGAGCTCGCGCGAGCTACTTTTTCTTGTTCTAACATAATCAAATTTCAATACTCCCTTGCAAAAAAAAGTAAAGTGGACATTCGCGCGCGCAAGACCAACAAAAAACACGACGATCTCAGGAACTTGCCCCAAAAATGTGACCAACTCCGCTCTCTCTGTCTCTCTCTCTGTCTGCTCTCTGTCTCTCTCTCTGTCTGTCTGTGTCATGTATTGTATGTCACAATTGCAGGATGCTGGGCACACGCGCGCCCCGAATAAGTGACCAAGTTCTGTGGGTGTGTACCCCACGCCAGTGTAGTAGCCACGGTCGTCCGCACGCCACGAAGTGAAGTGTCCCAACGTCATAGGGCGGGAAGCTGGGTTTGGGTGGTCGCGAAGAGTCGTTTGGATATTTGGTAGAGCTTGAACTGCCCCCCCACGAAGTGGGGGTATTGTCTCGCGTCGCATGAAAACCCTGGCACTGGTGAGAACACTGAGCGTTCGGGTAAAATGATTGTTGTTGTTGTTGTTGTTGTTGTTGTTGTTGTTGTTGTTGTTGTTGTTGTTGTTGTTGTTGTTTATTTTTCATGTGCACCCCCCAGGAAGCATGAGAGGAGCTTGCATCGCTCGCTGCCACCGCCTCGGGTCTCTCCTCACCTCTCTCCGAGTGCCCTGGGCAGTTGCAGGAGATTTCGACATGATCCCCCCAGCGCTAGTGCGTTCGGGATTTGCCAAGTTTCTCGGATGCCAAGCCATCCAAGCCCCAGTGGGAGCGTGTACGTGTGGTCGCCAGGGGTCTCACATTGACTATTTGCCATGTAGTCGTTCGTTCAGGTCCTACACAAAACAAGGTTCAGCAATTTTTGATGTATCGTCGAAACCACATTTGGGGCTGGCTGTGCAATTTCACTCGGCAAGGTCCCAACTTTGGCAAAAACAGAGAACCGTGTTAAGCAGGCCTTGTCGAGGCAACGTAGGTGCGAAGTGTTCAAGTCAATGTGCGGTGATCATGTGGCACCCAGCCCACCAAAAGGTGCCTCAAGAGAGCCAACCGGGCAGCCTCGGGTAATTTCTAGGTGATCCCACAGGCGAAGGCGAGGAAGACCTCGACGCTTGGCAGTTGGAGCATGCAAAGCTTTTACTCGATCGGGCTGACGCCTCTCCTTGCGCCGGCGCCACCCAACCCCCGCCCAGCCTGGACGAACCCCAGGGAGAGACCCCAATCCCGAGGTTATGATCGATGAATATCTCTGAAATGAAAAATCGTGCCCAGGTGGATTTCGCTCCTGGCTCCGTCTGTAAAATGCATGACCACATCGCATCGTCGCACTGTTACCGTTTTGCCTTCAGAAATGTGTCTGCCCTCGCGGGCACGTGCGCCTCCTGGGCCACCGCTATCGGGGCCGTCATTTGCCCGCGCCGCTCTTGTGACATTCCTGATGAGCCCAGCGGAGCGAATGGCCTCCTACTGAAAATGGGCGAAGTTTATCAGGCGCAGCACTCTCGGATACAACCCCTCCAAGATGATGCAGCTAGCTGGCGGACTCGCTTAGCCGCCGTTGCGGCTTCCATATGTCGTCATCGAGTCAGGGTCAATACAGAGAAGCAATTAAAGACTTTGAATGCGGCCGTGTTCACGCGATTGGGTGACGTGCCCGACATGCCCGAGGATCTCCTTACGCAGCACGAGCCCAAGTGGGACACGGTGGTTCGGTCGCTTCGGACACTGAATGCGCATTCAGACTTCCAGCTTGCCAAGCTTGGAGGCTTGCTCATCAAGTCAAGCACGAGAACTCACAATCGTGCCGTTCAAGCTTCACTCAGCAGATTTCGTGAATGGGTTGATATTCCACAGGCGGTTAACACGTTGCACAGAAACACTCGAGATGAACCGTTCTCACCTGCCACCCTGTCTCTGGAGGTCCAACAGTGCGCGGCAGCAAGGGCCCTTAGGCAGGCAGGGGCCTACACAGCGCCAATGTGTCCCACTCAGAGCATAGTCCCAGGTTTGCGATCAGGTGCCAGATTGGCCAGGAGGATGATTTTCTTCGTCCTTCGAGTCATCGCCGCAATGCATCTGTCCTTGTGCCGTCGCATTTGGATTAGCGATCTCTCCGAGGGCATGAAAGGGTCGAGGAAGAAACTCCGTCATTTGCTTGCGAAAGCTATCATTGATACTTGCGACTGCATAAACCTAAATATGTTACATGTTGCAATCAAATCAGCAGCGCTGCACGCATATATATATATATGTGTGTATATATATATATGCTTATATATACATATATATACGTATATATATATATGTATATATATGTATGTATATATACATATGTATGTATGTGTATATATATATATATAGGTCATACGCCCGCCACGCCGCGCGAGCGGTCAATGGAGCTGGTTTCGCGGTTCAGGCGCAGCCACAGGTCGCCCGCCTGGGAGCCCGCCTGGGTGGAGAGAGAGACGCCTCGCCCGAACACTTCGCCGCCAACGCGTGGGCATAGTTGCCCGGGCCGAGCGCCAGGGTCGCCAAGCGCGCCAAGGCCCCGAGGAAGCGCAAGCTCACTTCGCGAGCCGAACGCCAAGGGGCCTTCGCTGCAGGTGCTTATGCCCATCACCTCCACGGCGCTTTCGGTTACGTCGTCACGGCTTTCGGGCGCAAGCAGAGCCATGCCCGCCCCGCACCTTCAACACAGAGGTGCCTCACAACGACTCTTGCCGCACTGGGCGGGCAAGGCGATCCGGGAGTACGTGTGGCCACTGAAACGTTGCAGCGTTGGTTCTGAGTGTGGCCTCGTGAAGGGGCATATTTTCGCCCTGCAGTTAGGTAGGCGCGGCCAAGGGCAGTCAAAATGTTTCAGGGCATCGGCACCAAGAGAAGAGGCCCGATGGGAGCAATGTGTTGCCATTCGCTGGAGACTGGCTGGATTCCCAACTCAGCTGAATCATGGACCCGACCACCAGCTATTGATGGCACAAAGTTGATTGGAATTTCCCTCCCGACATGTTTGAGGAAGGCAGAGGAGTTGACGTCTCCAGAGACTTAGTCAGCGAGCTTCAGGAAGATCGCGAACGTATGCATTGGGCAGCAACCAGTAAGCATCACGCAAGATCAGGAGCCGAAAACGGCGTGGAATGGAGTCGTGCATCCGTCTCATCTGGCAGATGCGAGCTTATGGTAATAAGTTGGGTGAGCTCATGAAAGCTACTGCAGCTGGTGCCATGCAGCCTCATGAACGGCGCAACGCTCAGAAGCCAGGGCGCGTGCCGATGATGTGCCCGCGTTGTCAGCGAGAACTCGTTTCTCTGTTTCACGGTTGCTGGTCACATTCGGCAAACGCCAACAACGTCGCGCACGAGAGGGCGGCATCCCTTGCTGGAGAAGCTCACGCGCAGTGGGAGTCGGCAGAGTGTTTTTGGCTCCGAGGGTTGTTGCCGAAAGAATGGGGTTTAGCGTCTCTACCAATGCATTCTGATTGGCCGCGTGGAGGTATCTTCAACGAGTTCACAAGAGAAGCAGCTGGAGCATGTACGAGAGAATCTCCCCTTCCACTTATTCGGCGACTCCAACTCTAAGCGCAGGAGAGTTGGGGTTGGCCTTGCCATGGCTAACGCTCCAGCCGTTCGTTCCAGCATGTCCGAAATTCATGTTCGAGGCACCGTAGAACAACCCATGCCAGGACACCGCCAAGTGGCGGGCAGGGGTGAGCTCACAGCTCCATGGATGGCCCTGCATCTCAGCTGTGGGTTCGTGGTGTATATCGCGGACAACTTCGGAGTCGTCGACGACTGATGCCAGGACAGCTACTTGAACCCCTCGGGCCCAGATGTTGATGTAAGGGCCCAAATCGGTAAAGAATTGAGAACTCGAGATTGGTCCCAGATTTCAATATTCTTCGTGATGGAGTCAGAAGCGGTATTCAGAGTGTTTGACATTGGTCCATAGTGCTGCCGACGCAGTTGCCGAGCTAGCCTCCGACCGGCGTCGCCTCAGCGCCGAAGTCATAAGCAGAGTTCATAATCATGAAAACCGAGCTGCTCCTGCACGGCATAGGCTTCTGAAAGCGAATCTACATGCAATTGAGAGAGAGAGAGAGCGGGAGTTAGGCCTCTCAGGCAACAAGTCTGAACGTCCGCCCGCCCCTCCTCCTGCACCTTCCACAGGCTCACGGATAATGGTCGGGGATGCACTGTTTGTCGAGGCTCCGCCACTCCAGCAACTGTCACAGAATGGCGAAATTCACACTGTTTTGCATTGGAATCGTTTGATGGGTACTGTCCTCTCCCTCCCCATGGGGGCTCGTCTTCACGTAGCTGGGGGGTGGGTCCACGGTTGCCAAAGAACGCAATATCACTCAGGGCTCTGCGCGTTTTTGGTCAATCCAAACTAAACGATAGCCTCAAGACATCGTGTCTAACGAGGACCCGCACAACCCGACAGGAGCCTCCAAAGCCAATCCAGGCTCACAATTGGCCCAAAGTGTTAGGCCGTGGGGGAGGGAGAGGAGAAGGTGGTGGCACGAGACGAACGTCTGTGCACTGTTTGATACATGCTGCCCCTATCTGCCCCTGTGATGAGAAGCATCAATCTACATCGGCGGGAGCTTCTGACTCGAGGTATATCAGGAGATGCTCCTGGAATACCGTAATACATGTGCGTAGAGTTGTGTGCATGATACCTGTTTTCTAAATTAAACTTGATTAGGTTGAGGACCAGTATTTTTGGAACCTGATGCAGCATAAAAGAAGACGAGGGGGGGCGCCTCCGCGTGGGCGAAGACAGAAACAGAGGGCGCCCTGCCACGGCGCCCGCCGCTGAAGATCAGCAGCGCACCCAGAGGGGGGAATATCCGGTTGAGGGAAACAATTAGGCAACACTCCCCCCCTCCCCCGCAATTCAAAGTTGACAGGTTTTCGCAAGACCGCTCGGAGGCCCTAAATCGGAAGATCCGAAACCAGCATTGCATGTGGGGGGAGGGGGAGAGGTTCAAACCATATGTTCTGCATGAGTGTTGCTTAATTGTTTCCGACACCTGTCGGAGGAAGGAGCGGCGGTTCGGTCGGAGCGAAGGTGCGCGCGGCGCGATCCGCGCGTGCGACGCCAACAGCCCCGAGGATCGCCGCAGGCCCCCGGCCCCCTGCTGCGGATGCCTCGGCCGCTTTAGCCCCTCTCCTTTGTGCTTGCGTCCGTCACCCAGTGGTTGCCTCATCTCATCTCAGCTCGTTCCTCCTCCCTCTTCCATCTTCCCTCCTCCGGTAAGGGGACAAAACAGTGGCACCCCTCGGTCTTCGACCCCACGCTCGCCCGCCCCCCCCCTCCCCCCATTTCAAAGTTGGTTTCGGCCTCCCGGAGGTCCTGTGGCTTCTGCTTGGTTTGTCCTCTCACGCCTGTCCTGCCGAATGCTTGGGGGCAACTTTGAAACTGGGGGGGAGGGGGGGAGGCGCGGTGTCAAGGGTTTCACTCTTTTGTCCATCCATGGTCACTCCCTCCCTCCCTCCCTCCCTCCACCTCTCCTCCCCCTCCCTCCTCCCTCCCTCCTCCCGCCTTCCATCCTCCCCTCCCTCCCCCTCCCTCCCTCCCTCCCTCAGCCCTTCCCTCCCTCCCCTCCCGCCTTCCCTCCTCCCGCCTTCCCCCTCCCTCCCTCCTCCATCTCTCCTCCCCCTCTCCCTCCCTCCCTCCCTCCTCCCGCCTTCCCTCCTCCCTTCCTTCCCTTCGCGGCTCGCGGCTCCTCGTCCAGGCATCCCTCCGCGGCCTCGACCCGGCGCCCCGCGCGCGCGAGGCCCGCGCCCACGGCGGCGCGCTCCTCGCGCTGGCGCCCCTCCTGCAGCGAGGGGGCAGGCAGCATCGAATCGGGAAACCGTCATTATCTTCTTCCTCCTCCTCCTCCTCCTTCTTCGTATGATTAGTATGTGTATTATTATTACTACGAGTATTCGTATTACTATTATTTTTATTACTATTATTACTATTAATAAAGATAATATTAATACTACTATTATTATTAGTAGTAGTATTAGTATTATTAGTTTTAATATTATATTAATATTAGTATTGTGATTACTATGATTATTATTATTACTACTATTATTATTACTACGATCATTAGTATTATTATTATTATCAGTACTAGAATTATTATTATTATTATTATTATTATTATTATTATTATTAGTAGTAGTAGTAGTAGTAGTAGTAGTAGTAGTAGTAGTAGTAGTAGTAGTAGTAGTAGTAGTAGTAGTAGTAGTAGTAGTAGTAGTAGTAATGTTGATATTGTTCTTGTTATTGTTCCCCACATCCTGAGTGGGGTTCTTGTTTTCCCAGAACATCCTCTCCTTCTCCTCTCCTACCATTTCCACCCCTCCAAGGAGGCCCCGTCTGAAGGAGGAGGGTATCGGACAACCATACTATTTACACGGTTTCGTGCCCTTCCCACCTCTCCAGGGAGGCCCCGCGTGAGCGAGGAGGGCATCGGAAATCCATACTATTTACATGGTTTCGTGCCCTTCCCACCTCTCCAAGGAAGCCCCGCGAGAGCGAGGGTATCGGAAATCCATACTATTTACATGGTTTCGTGCCCTTCCCACCTCTCCAGGGAGGCCCCGCCTCAGCGAGGGTATCGGAAAACCATACTATTTACATGGTTTCGTGCCCCTCCCACCCCTCCAGGGAGGCCCAGTCTGAGCGAGGAGGGTATCGGAAACCAATACGCCTGAGAGGAGGGAATCGGCAACCCATACTGTTTACATGGGTTCGTGCCCCTCCCCCCTTCAGGGAGGCCCCGCCTGAGCGAGGAGGGCATCGGAAATCTATAGTATTTGCATGGTTTCGTGCCCCTCCCACCCCTCCAGGGAGGCCCCGTCTGAGCGAGGAGGGTATCGGAAACCAATACTATTTACATGGTTTCGTGCCCCTCCTTCCCCTCCCCGGAGACCCCGCCTGAGCGAGGAGGAAATCGGAAACCCATACTATTCACATGGTTACGTGCCCGTTTTCCACCCCTCCAGGGAGGCACCGCCTGAGCGAGGAGGGTATCGGAAACCAATCTTATTTACATGGTTTCGTGCCCCTCCCATCCCTCCAAGGAGGCCCCGCCTGAGCGAGGAGGGTATCGGAAATCCATACTATTTGCATGGCTTCGTGGTTAAATCCATGCACTAAAATTATGAATATTATGATAACGGAGTTCCCCACATAAAGATATTAACGGTCTCGTGGGACCCATGGGGTACGACAACATCAACACCAAGGAGAAGCTGGAGAGGTGGGGCCTCCCTGGGGAGGTGGGAAGGGCACGAAACCATGTAAATAGTACAGGTGTCCGATGCCCTCCTCGCTCAGGCGGGGCCTCCCTGGAGGGATGGGAAGCACACGAAACCATGTAAATACTATGGGGTTCCGATACCCTCCTCGCTCAGACGAGGCCTCCCTGGAGGGGTGGGAGGAGCACGAAACCATGTAAATAGTATGATGCCCTCCTCGTTCAGGCGGTGCCTCCCTGGAGGGGTGGAAAACGGGCACGAAACCATGTAAATAGTACAGGTTTCCGATACCCTCCTCGCTCAGGCGAGGCCTCCCTGGAGGGGTGGGAGGGACACGAAACCATGTAAATAGTATGGGTTTCCGATACCCTCCTCGCTGAGGCGGGGCCTCCCTGGAGGGGTGGAAGGGGCACGAAACCATGTAAATAGTATGGGTTTCCGATACCCTCCTCGCTCAGGCGGGGCCTCCCTGGAGGGGTGGGAGGGACACGAAACCATGTAAATAGTATGGGTTTCCGAAACCCTCCTCGCTCAGGTTGGGCCTCCCTGGAGGGGTGGAAGGGGCACGAAATCAAGTAAATAGTATGGGTTTCCGATACCCTTCTCGCTGAGGCGGGGCCTCCCTGGAGGGGAGGGAGGGGCACGAAACCATGTAAATAGTATGGTTTTCCGATACCCTCCTCGCTCAGGCGGGGCCTCCCTGGAAGGGTGGGAGGGGCACGAAACCATGTAAATAGTATGGGTTTCCGATACCCTCCTCGCTCAGGCGGGGCCTCCCCGGAGGGGTGGGAGGGGCACGAAACCATGTAAATAGTATGGGTGTCCGATGCCCTCCTCGCTGAGGCGGGGCCTCTCTGGAGAGGTGGGAAGGGCACGAAACCATGTGAAGGGTATGGTTTTCCGATACCTTCCTCGCTCAGGCGGGGCCTCCCTGGAGAGGTGGGAAGGGCACGAAACCATGCAAAAAAGATGGTTTTCCGATACCCTCCTCGCTCAGGCGGGGCCTGGAGGAGTGGGAGGAGCACGAAACCATGTGAATAATATGGTTGTCCGATATCCTCCTCGCTCAGGCGGGGCCTCCCTGGAGAGGTGGGAAGGGCACGAAACTATGTAAAGAATATGGTTTTCCGATACCTTCCTCGCTCAGGCGGGGCCTCCCTGGAGGGGTGGAAATGGTATTAATATGGGAGGCGGGAGGCGGGAGGGAGAAGGAGAGGATGTTCTGGGAAAACAAGAACCCCACTCAGGAGGTGGGGAATGTTGATCTGGATAGTACTAGTATGATGATTACGATTACTAAACATATTATTAATAAAGTTACCAGTAATATTAATAGTCCGAATATTATTATTATTATTATTATTAATATTATTATTATTATTATCATTATTATTATTGGTATTATTAATAGTAGTAGTATTTTTCCCCACATCCTGAGTGGGGTTCTTGTTTTCCCAGAACACCCTCTCCTTCCCACCCACCTCCCGCTCCATCTTCCGTACAGCACAAAATTATTCCTACCACACACACCATACCATACCATAGTTCCTACCACGCATACCATACCATACCATACCATACCACACCATACGTACCATACCGTACCATACCATACCATGGCGTGCCATAGCATACCATACCATATCACACCAATGCCACACCGTACCATACCATACCATACCTCCAGTACCATACCATACCATATCATACCATACCGTACCATACCATACCTACGATTCCATACCACTCCATACCGAAAACCATACTACTTACATGGTTTCGTGCCCCTCCCACCCCTCCAGGGAGGCCCCGCCTGAGCGAGGAGGGTATCGGAAACCATACTATTTACATGGTTTCGTGCCCCTCCCACCCTCCAGGGAGGCCCCGCCTGAGCGAGGAGGGTATCCGAAAACCATACTATTTACATGGTTTCGTGCCCCTCCCACCCCTCCAGGGAGGCCCCGCCTGAGCGAGGAGGGTATCGGAAAACCATACTATTTACATGGTTTCGTGCCCCTCCCACCCCTCCAGGGAGGCCCCGCCTGAGCGAGGAGGGTATCGGAATACCATACTATTTACATGGTTTCGTGCCCCTCCCACCCCTCCAGGGAGGCCCCGCCTGAGCGAGGAGGGTATCGGACAACCATACTATTTACATGGTTTCGTGCCCCTCCCACCCTCCAGGGAGGCCCCGCCTGAGCGAGGAGGGTATCGGAAAACCATACTATTTACATGGTTTCGTGCCCCTCCCACCCCTCCAGGGAGGCCCCGCCTGAGCGAGGAGGGTATCGGAAAACCATACTATTTACATGGTTTCGTGCCCCTCCCACCCCTCCAGAGAGGCCCCGCCTGAGCGAGGAGGGTATCGGAAAACCATACTCTTTACACGGTTTCGTGCCCCTCCCACCCCTTCAGGGAGGCCCCGCCTGAGCGAGGAAACCACCAACGCCGTGTGCACAAAACCATAATGCAGCGATACATTGTTTGGGAGATTATTGGCAGTCTTTTAAACCGCTCTTGGCCGATCAGTGTCTGCGTTCGAATTGTAGTTACCAGACACCTCGGCAAGTGCTTTCGTCTAGCGAACTCGTGTCGCCCACCCTCTTGTATAACCTCGATTGGGCGAGGGAAATGAGACCACTCAGACCAAGCTCACGAATCGGACCTCACGAGGAAAATGAGACCACTCAAACCAACCTCCCGCTGCTGCTCCTGCTGCGGTTCCTGCTGCTGCTCTTCGCCATCATCCATCTTATCCTCTTCCTCCTCCTCCTCCTCCTCCTCCTCCTCCTCCTCCTCCTCCTCCTCCTCTTCCTGGAGGGTATCGGAAAACATGCTGTTTACACGGTTTCGTGTCCCCCCTCCACTCCTCCAGAGAGGCCGCGCTTGAACGAGGAGGGTCGCGGAAAGCATTACTCTTCGCCAGGTTTCGTAGCCCTCCCCCCTTCCAGCGGGGCCCCGCCAAAGCGAGGAGGGCATCAAGAAAATGGGTCCCACGAAACCGTTACTCTCTTTATGTGGGGAACTCCGTTAGCAT